TTAGTAAAACTGTGGGCCAAGGGCTTTGACTGAAACAATATATGTATTGTTGATTCATATGTAAATTTTATCTATATTTTTTAAACAATTAAGTATAAAAAATAAAAATTAGTAAAAACTGTGGGCCAAGGGCTTTGACTGGCCACATAATCTACCCGAGCCCGGCATCCAGGTCAGATTTTAATGACTTGCCTGACTTGTCCCATGGCATCCCTATCTGCAATGCCACGACAGAGCTTATGTTTCTCAATCTTTCACATTTGAAATGTTTGAATAGTTTGTATCAAGTATAATTTTGCATTACTAAAAAGGTTATCAATTATAGAATTTGCCTAGTAATTGAATTCAAGGACACTGGTACATGGCTAAATATTCAACTGGTTTTGAAGATACCACCTAACACAGGACATTGTAAGGAGTTTATATGCACAATTAAATCGTATATTCCTATAAGGAAAAAGAAAAAAAATACAAAAATGAAAAACAAATTCTTCTTAAAATATACGTTATATCTATACACACACACACACACTGGCTAACATGTTCAGAAAAAAAGGTGTGTTTCTGGCTACAAGTTTTGATTAAGCGTATATAAGTGCTCTTAGAGGTATTGGCTTCCATCGGGTGTCATTTGTGAAACTCCTTTAGTATACTACCATGGGTTCACATTAGTATTTCTGTATGTGTTTGTGAGAGTAATAGCATGGCCAGACGAAGGAATCATATTGGCGATTACTTTGTTTTATGCTGTAGTGTCATGTCACTACTCTTGAAGCTTGTGCAGCCAGAAGGGTGCATGCGCATTTTAAGCCTGTAAGCGCGAGTACTTATTGGATTCCTATTAAAGTGAAACACACTTCACTGATAGTTTTCTCCTAGGTTGCAGAAATGGTGGTCTTCTTTTTGGATGGCATTCTTTGTTTATTACATAGATCCCTATTTATTGACCAGAATTTGATTGACATTTTTTTTTGGGGGGGGGGGGGGGCAGTTGAACTGAGTTACAGCAAGCTGCTGGACATGCTGCGGAAATTGAATGATCGGAATGATGTTCTAGATGGGATTTAAACCGAGCTTAGGTCCCTTTTCCACAAAGATTGTTTTAATGAGGGTCTTCCAAGACAATTTTTGGCATCATTTGTACTATGTGGTGGTTCTTTTCTGTGCTATGTACTTTTATTGAAGAATAGCTTAACTAAAAGTGCAGTGGATACCACATTCTCTACTTCTACTGCAGACTCTTAGTTTAACTTAAAATGCAGTGGACTGTTTCAACTTTAACAACCAATGCCCCCTTTTTGAATTATGATTCTTCATTGTTTAGTAGAGGTGACCAAACAGCTGACATGATTTCTAGAAGCAACCAAACTACTATGCTGGTTAAGAAGAGGCACAGGATAAATAAGAGTCTCCTCGTAGCTGGATTGAATTTGGGTTTCCTTTTTTAAAAAAAGGCCAAACATGTCTGCAAATATTTGTCATTCTGCTACTCTTACATACTCTCTCATTTGGTATCTCTTATTATGTGTATACTCTCCCTCCCACTCCCCCCCCCCTCTTTCTCTCCCCTCGTGTGTGTGTGTGTGACATGCATGCATTAACACCCTTGATGCTTCAACTAATTTCATGATTTCCTTTTCTCTATTTGTAATTGGTGAAGACATTTCACAGGAATGCTTGGTAAACATTGTTTTGATCGTTTGTTCTATTTTCCTGCATCTACTTGTGCAGATGGAACTGTGCACAACCTAAATGAATACATTGAGGTATCCCCTGCTGATGCGGCCAGAAGTATTGGAGTTGACTTGATTGATGAAGTTTTTACTCAGAAACTAGGTGTGCTGGTGAGTGAAAATCAATTGGAGGAATTCTTTTCCCTCGTGTGATTGCGGATACGCATAATTTTCATATGCTATATTGTGTTGTTGTAAAAAGAAAAATCGGGTGTGGAAACTGCGACTGCAAGCAGTTTTACTTGATGAATACTCTGTAAGCAAATGAGATATTGTCTGATGATTTGATTCAGACTCAATTTTTTTTTTTTTTTTTTTTAACTTAGGTGTGTGATAAGGTAATCCGTTATGATAACCTTATTCATGAATGTTTATAAAATTACTTTTTTTTTGTAGGTTTTATTTGCATTTAAATTAAGTAGACTTAGAGTTTATAAGGATAAGAGTAATAGATTTGATTGCAAGTTAAATATGTTTGAAATTTTCAATTCACAAGTTATACACGTGTCAACCCAACACGCGGAATTAACCTTGTCCCCGATCAGCAGGACGGAGTATCAAGCCACTTCCTACATACGTGCAATCTGATTCAGTAATTCTCTTAAGAAGAATCTCTAGCTCTCAGCATCTCCAATAGTTCTCTTTAAAATAGAGAATATTTTTTTAAAAAAAAAAGAGCAACTTTAAAAAAAATTAAAATTTTATACACCACTCCAATAAAACTTTTTATTCTGATCAATTTATTATTTTATGCTTGTCTTTTTAAGAATAAATTTGACTTCTTTCTTTTTTTCGTCTTTTTTAGCATTGACATATATTTCAGGAAGAATTACATCTAAATCCTCTGAAATTTGTCACTTAATCACTCAAATTCCTGACATTTGAAATATTACACACAAACTCCCTAAAATTTGTACGCGCATAACACTTAGACTCTTACTGTAAATATATCAGTTAATAAATTATACTTAGATCCCCCAAAAGTTTGTAAGTATATAATACTTAGACCCTTTAAGTTTAAAATATTGTACTTATACAAAAAATACTTCAATCAAAGATAGAATATCAAATATGTTAAATTTTACAATCAAAATTTATGTTCTATTGTATCATTTATTGAAATAAAATTAAAAATAAAATATTAATTTTTTCTTAAAAAATCATAATTAACATACAATTATACTATCTATTGGAGTAAAATTAAAAAATCAAACAAGGGGTTTAAGTCATTCATAATAGAACATGAATTTTACATCTAAAATTTATGTTCTATTATGTCATTTATTGAAATAAAATCAAAAATAAAAATTTTTTTTTAAAAACATCATAGTTAGTATATAATTATACTATATATTAGATTAAAACTAAAAAATTAAACAATGGGTCAAACTGTAATAAATATAATATTTTTTATCTTTAATTGGGATAATTTGATATTTTAATTTGATCGTTTAAACGACTAAATTAAATTCTAATAGACAATATAATTATATACTAATTATGTTTTTTAAGAAAAAATTAAATTTTTATTTTTGATTTTATTTCAATAAATTATACAATAGAAAATAAATTTTAGTTTTAAAATTTAAAATATTTAATATTTTATCTTTTATTGGAGAATTTTTGGTTTAAATACAATATTTTAAACTTAAAAAGTCTAAATATTATATATTTATAAATTTCAAAAGGTCTAAATATAATTTCTTAATTAATATATTTCTAACAGAGATCTAATTGTTATGCACGTACAAACTTCAAGAAATCTGTGTGTAATATTTTAAATGTCAGGAAATCTGAGTGATTAAGTAACAAACTTTAAAAGATTCAAGTATAATTCTCCCTATATTTTATCACAGATGTATGCAATGAAAAGATAAATATAAATATTTTTTATATCTATTGGAGATGCTCTCATTCCCACCAAAAGAACTTCACTCTAGCTTCATTCCAACTCCAAAAAAAAGACCCACCCAAAACACACACACTCACCAATTGAATAAATAGGGCTAGTGATACCAGGGTTGCTTATGGAAAAGCAATCTAATTCAAGAACACGAATAACAAGTCACTTAAAAGGTTCTAAAATTAATTTTTACACAAGCAATTAATAAATATCCACACTACGTATTCGAAACCATTGCAGATGCCAAAGCTTTATTGTCGAAAAGCTCCAAAGAAGATCAGCATTACCTTCAAGATGGAGGTCGAATCTATTGGCGGATGCCTGCAGATTTATCACATTTTCATATTCTACATATCCTACGAGGGAGCAACCACCTTAATTGAGCGCTACTAAATTGATCAAAATCTGGAACCTATTTCTCTTTCCTATTATCCTGCTTGTAGCTGCAGGTTGTTATCACTTGCCGAGTTCCTGAGCAACCATGCTGTGTGACCCAATGCTTTAAACAGGCTAGCACCTAGACCGAATTGTCTATAAACTGCATATGAGCTTTTGAAGAGTATGCACGCGGCAGGCTCAAGGGGTTCCATCTTCGCTGTCTGAAAGTAAGCAATCTTGGATTTGCTCCCTGAAAACATCATAAAGAATCAAGTGAATAGAAGGTAGATATCCCCTACAAAAGGTAAAATGAATATCAACATGGTACATGGCCAAGAAAAACAGTAAGCCTGAACAGCATTTTTGGAACATTAGTCGAGTCAAAATTAAGGTTTGTGGCCTTTCTACTTCCATATCTTCAACTTCCCTCTAGGTCTAGAGTCTACGCTTTCTAAATTTGGATGATGACGTACTAGCATTCCAACTCCCCCTGAACTACAAGCTTTTTTTGAAGCCTCTACTGAATTTATGGGACATTTGAAGAAGCCCCTTTCTCAAAATCTTTCTATATATAATATAAGGGAAGCTGGATGATAGTCCCACATTCAGTGGAGGAGGATCCTAATTAAATGGCCCAACACTCTAGAGAATGGATGGTCCCAATCAAGATTGTTGAAATACTTTTAAGCATGCTTAAAAAGTTTCCAATAGCCTTAAAAGAAGCAAAAAATAGATATTCATCAGATGTCAGAAACTGGTCTTGTAGCTGCAGTCCAGGCATAGCACCAAGGCAACTATAGAGGTCTTAAGCTCGGAATTTAAAATATCCCCTGATCAGACACATATGATTTATGAAGTGCTAAAAGGCATACATAATCTCTCTCACCTTAGCCATATCTGGTTGCCAAAGCCACCTTTTTTTGCCTGGGTAACAATTGCCGGTGGTAATTGTGAAACAAAATGCTCCATAGATGATGATTCCTTGGGAAGTATCTGAAACTGGCAACTCCCACAACATTTAGCCCCAAATATTTCAGCACTTATTTGCCCATTCTGAGAACTGCTTGAACTTAGGAAGTCAGATTTGTTTAGTGGGCTATTGCAAATCGGACAGAACAACTCAGGAGGAAGAGATTCATTATTCTTCAGATTGAATTTCTTTTGACGCCTTCGGGATGCCAACTGAACATTAAAGTCATCAATTTCTGGAATCCTATTGAAATGGAATGGTGTAAGCTTTCCAGCGGTTCTTACAATTGTGCATTCTCGAGAAGGATTTTCCTCCTGAAATACACCAAGATGTATTATGGTGTGGTAGATACCTTAAAGCATCAGAATCAACTTCAAGGAAACTGTGCACAACCGACTGCAAGAATATTTATAACAGACTCTGTCACAAGTTTTTTTGCTGAGCAAAATGAATTTAATTCCCTTGCACAGGTGTGTAACTAAAGCAGGATAATACTCTTCCAACAGCTAAAGGTTCTTTACTTATTGTGGCAGCATATGGTACCTGCTCTTTAGGAACCAAGTCCATGTTTCGTTTCAGATAATTAAATGTTATTTGACACCACTTCCACAATGTTCCCACGTTATTTGCAAAACACTGGTTTCAGAAGCAATACTTCCCATCATTGCTTGTTAAAACACCCGCAATTGATAATAAGATCACCATTGAATCGAATCTATGATAAACCTAATCTATTTTTTTTACCTGCAATAGCTTAACAAACGATGAGACCAAACCATTGATGCCGGAACGAGGACCGTTAAACACCTCCACAGTCCTTAAACTGCCCTGCCAAAATAAGATCAGTCCCATCATGGTGTAAAAATATGATGATTTTATCAATGCATTTTAAACACTAAAATTCATTGAAATATTTTATTATCAAATTAACAAATAAAAAAGACAAAAACATATATATAAAGAAGCAGACACACACCCCACCCCCCAAAAAAAAAAAAACAAAACTAAAAATAGGTAGCGTACACATATGCAAACCTGTCAAGACTGCAAAGCATGTCGACCTCTTGAGTGAGACAATCACGTAAGGGAAGCACCACTGGCACCTGCCATCTTGCATCGACATACTGGATATCTCCTGCCAAAGAATAACCTTGGCCCTGGTAAAAAAGAATATAATTTTATAACAAAGGAAGGTGCTTTTCCACCACGGTCCTTAATATTCGTTAAACCCATTGAACCTTTCACAAGGAAAAATGTGGCAGTTTCCTCAGATAAATGAAACATTAGATGAAAGTATATAGTTGATTCAGCATGCTAACTGTAAAAAAGGGCAAAATGAATGGTCAATGCAACACCGGAACATGGTCTTCACAAGAGAGAATGCAGCAGTTATGCTTATGTTGGTTTAGAGTCTTTAGACTTTAGATTATTATGCTGCTGAGATAGTTTTGTCTTTCTCATTCATGTTTGAGGAGCGGAAGGAACTTTGGTAAATCATGAATTATAGTGCTGCTCTACCATAAATCATAAATATATAAAGTCATATCATTGGTCAATACTGCTAATTCCTCATATGTCTATCATATTGGTTTTACTAATCACAATTCTTTAATTTCTAATCTTGCAGTCCTAACTCTAGTTGAAAGAGGTCCAGCGCCTTTCAATAATCTTAGTTTTATACTTTATAGCAGGGTTGGTTTTGTTATATTACCAATAAACAGATTTTGTTATCTGATCCTTGAGGTATGAAAACTAAGAAATGTCAGCTGAGACTAACAGAATCTCCTTTAGTTGTCAGCTGTGTTTTGGTGTATGATTTCAAATGATGCCTATTTCTTCGAATTTTGATTACAAAACCCTAATTCACCAAAACCTTTAACTTATTGCTCCAAAACTCATGGAGAACAATTATTTGTGATATCTGAAATATATCACCTTCCACGCCAGGTCAAATCCATCCCTTATGCACCCACCAACGCTCTCTATGTTTTCCCCACCGTTTCACAATATACTAAACCAGTTAAAGCTTTTCAAATCTTTGCCTGGCAGTAAACCAATAGGCCATAGGCCACAATATTATACATTGTGTAGGGATATCTCATATCTCATATCTCACATCAACACCTTCATTAGCCAACTTATTAGATCGGAACAAAGCACAAGTGATAAGTGCCATAGGAAAAAACATGAGTGGTTTTATTATGTTAAAAAAAAACTGACAGCTTGGCAGTATCATGGCATACTTCTAACGGAAACAAAGAACTTGTACCTTAGAAAGTTTGTCAAAGTATACAAAGACTTTTAAATTTTGTCCTTCCGTTAATAGTGTTAGAACTAGAAAATACTTCTTTTCCCATTTCCAATCTTACTTTCAGTCCCTTCAATATGAGCTCAAAAAAGGAAGAGTTGTTTCTAGGCAGAACCCAGAAACAGTTCATCCTCTGTTCCCCACAACCACTAAAAAACAAATATCATATTCTTTTCCTTTCATTTCACTAGATCTGTTGGGAAGAATAGTGGCTTAGATGTGTACCAAAGTTTCCATCTTGAAGGAAATAAATCTGCATCCGAGGATTGAAATTTTGTTTTGTTTTCACTGAAATGGCCGAAATGCGTCTATTAAACCAAAATGAATCAATTATAAAATAGTGAAATTCATATGTTTTAGGGTGTTTTGAAGTATCTCGACTATGTTTCAAAATGTTCTAGAAACAAATTTTAAAATTTTCAAGTGTTTCTATTCTGGTTCCGAAATGTTTCTAAAAACAATTCACAACATTTTTGTTTCTAAGATGACGGAAATAATGTACCAAAATAAAATTTTGATCCTTGTATATATCTAGTTAGAGTTGTCTATCAATTTTCAGGAAATTCTTCCATTATTAGGAAACATCAACTCAACAAAATCTACAGTGAAGATTTGTCATCCAGCAGCATGAAAGGAAGAAACCTGACTCACATTCAGTGATTAGTTCACTCACACGAATGCATATCAACCTTCAACTTTTATTGTCCACAGTAAATTTGTCCCACATAATTTTCATTTTGACTTCATCGACAACATACAAGGGAATTATTATGGGTACACAAATTGATATATGGACCCCCTCAAAAAAGGTACAATAGAGTTCTGCAAAAGCCATGTATTGAAAACAACAAAAATGAAAAAAAGAAAGAAAAAAATATACAACAGATACAAACCTTGACAGTTGCTGTAATGACATGGCAGGCTAGCCTTGATGTGCATGAACCTAGCACAAGTTTTGTGTATCCTTTTTCGAGAGCAATCTGCACACAAAAAAAATGCGTCATTTTGCATGAATTAGCCTCCTTTCCCTTCTCCTGTGTCAACACATAAATGACAGTATATAGGGCTAAACCTTTTGCAAGGCCAACATTCGCAGATGCACCAAAAGATCTTCTTTTCCAGTAACATCACTGACAGCATTTAGTAACTCTTTCAACTGGTCCCTTCCATCACTAGAGTCTGAAGAATAGATGCTTTCAATTGGAGCAACATGAAATTCTTTCTTGGGAGGAGCTACATTTGACACAATCAATTTCATGTCTTGAATTGATTTGTCGTAGTCATGAGAAGGGACTAGGTAAATAGCAGTTTCATCAATAAAAGCAACTCCAACACCAAAAACTGGTAACGACCTATCCCTACTTGCATCAAAATTCTTCAGTGCTTTATGTTGCATCTCATGAACAAACTGAAGAGCCACCCTAAAAGATTCAGAGAAAAAACTTCAACGCCATAAACATAGAGAACTGTATCACAATCAAGCTCGCAAAAGGGTTCTTAGATACCTATCAACAAATATAATTCATAAATATTCACAGGAAGTTCGACAAGGTGTTAATCTTTTAGCATACATTTATTTTCTGCTTAAAAAATAAGCATCTGGGAACATTAATATTGCTGTTCAGAAATAGCAAATTATTTCCATTCTCTACTCATTGAAAGCATTAAAATTAAATTCGAAATTGCAAAAAATTCAAACATAAAGTACAAAGTTGAAAACTCAGGAAAATTATAAGAAATCTGCTAAAACAGACGTAAATCGCAAATTGAAACGAATAATTGAGTTCCTAATTCGCATATTTCCGCAAATGTTATAAAGCCTATCAAGAGGGAAATTTGTAGAGAGAACCTGGAAGAAGGACCACCGGAGAAAGCGACGAGGACGTTGTCGGAAGAAGAAATCATGGCGTTGGAAGTGACAGCAAACCTAAACTTGCCGAAAAGATTACTTCGGAAACATTCCGCACAAAATCGACCACCATCTCCTCCGCCGCCGCCACCGGCGGCGACGATTGCTTCGTTAACCTTGCATTTTAAGCACAGGTTGTGAAGATGATTATCGCCGTTGCCACTATACACGATACCATTGGCTGATTCATTTTTCTTTGTTTCTTGTTCAACTTCGCCGGTGTCCTTATAGCAACCGGACTGGCAAGTTGCTGAGCTGCATGCCATTCTCTCTCTCTCTCTCTCTCTCTCTCTCTCTCTCTCACACTGGTCGGTGGGGTGTGGGTGTTTAGGGTTTTGGCTTCACCAGACAAATGAGCAATTTAAAGAGGGTAAAATCCAGTTAATCCCCTAATGGTTCGGTTGTTTTGCACTTTACCCCCATATGTTCAGAAATTAGCACATAACTCTCTTATACTTTGAACTAATTTGCTACCATTAGAAATTCTCTTTAAATTGACAGAATGTAGCATGCAAGCACATAATTAAACAATCAAGTAACAACTAAAAATTAGGGCCATTTCTAGATAAATCAAGGCAAAAGATAAAAGCTCATATGATGCTATACTTTTGTCATGACAAAGATAGCCTTCCAAACTAGTTCATGTTGGTTATTTGACTTAATTTCTCCATATTAATTATAAAAAGAGTATTATACAACTCAAATAAAATTCAAAAAGTTACAACTCAAATGCATCATCTATTTGATGAGTAGGTCTCATCAACTTTTTTAGTGAGCCTCACTCTTTCAACACTTATCCCAAGAATGATATGTATTTGTGTTTTAGTTTTTGGGTTTTATTTGGATTGTGTTGTATTTTTCTTATACAAATTTGGATATAATGGCTGAATTAAAACTCAATTAATATTTTAAGGGTTTTTATTAAAATTTTACGGACCAAAATGAAATTTTACTCCTACTTCAAGGGTATACATTGTAATTACCAAAAGAAAAGAAAAAGTAAAAACAGAACTCCTGCACTTCCCACGCGCGAACAAGGGCCATCTCCGGCGTTGCTTCCTCTGTTAAGCTTCTACTCCTACTTACAATTCGTCACTTGGCTTCTCCACCGGAAAAAAGGTTTCTTCGCTCTTCCCTTGTGAACTATCCGGCGAACATAGTTTTTTTTTTCCTGTTTGATTATTGCGTTCTGGGTAAATACTGTAGGGGATTATGTTAGAGACAAACAATGTAAGAAGAAATGGAAAAAATCGTTTCACACCCACCTTGATATTCTCAACGTTATGCGTATAAAACCCTGATATGATTTAGCTAAATAAAGGTTGGATTGATTGTGTTGAAAGAACAATGTGAAGTTTCCAAATTAGTTTTTTGTGTTTGGGATTGACATGTGGTGTTTGGTAACGAGTTGAATGGGGGTTATACAACAGCAGTTTATAACAATTCATGATGGACTAACAACAATGTGGTTAACGCCCATTTGAGATTAGCTGGGGTGTGGTTGATTATCTGACAATTTTTGACCATGGTGGAGGATAACAACGAAGAGACTAAGCCCATTTTTTAGTTTAACAGAGGCCTAGTATTCTTGAAAATGACTATTAATTGTGATTTTTTGTCGACAAAGGATTTTATAGGTGCTAAGGTGAATTCTGATAATGAGCTATGATGGGAGGACTCATAAGTAAAGTGGGAAATTTTGGACTGGTCTGTGATAGTTTCTTAATCCAGTGAAATAAGGATACTATGTGCAAGTTCAGATTCAAGGCTATTTCCTTGAAATTGAAGACCTACAGGAATACAATCAATAGAAAAAAGTATCATGGTATCAGATATAGGTTCACTGCAATGTAACTGTCCAAGAGCCAAATATAATTCAACCTGACCTTTCTCTGGGTTGATTTGCTTGGGTCTGGTATTTTAGTTGGATTCGGTAGTAGTATTTAAGGAAGATACTAGAATTGACTTGCAGCCCTAGTTTTCGTAATTTTTTTTCTCATTTTCTCTTTGTTAGTGAATTTGATTTGGCTATAACATTCGTTCATCTTCATAATTTGTGCTGGCATAATTATGCTACTCCTTTTTTTGGCTTTTGTTTGGTATTTTGAGTGCTAGTTTTTCTTATAAACAACTCTCTACTTACCATTATATTTTTAATTTACAAATATATTATCACACTTGTTATTGCTGTTCAAATCCAGTGGTAAAGTGATGAATTTGTTTTGATTTGTCAATCTATTTCTGCTTTGAAAGGTTGGAGACGTTCGTGCCGAAGCAGATCAAAGATGATGGGTTCTGCAAACTCTGGTGATTTGTCATCAGAGATGGAAGTGGATGCTTTTAGACGCCTTTTCCCTCTGCGCTTCCATGAGCGTCATCTACTTGAGTCAATACGACCTGATGCCAGGATGCTTGGAAAAGCTAGAGATACTACACTGGCTCTTGGTTAGTTAAGCTTTGTTTTGTTTGTTGAGAACTCGTAATTTTCATCCTTGCAGTACATTGCTGTTGATTAGTTAAGCATTGTTTTATTTGTTGAAAACTTCTAGCTATCATCCTTTATTTAGAAATTAATATATTCGAAGTCTTTTTTTATTGAACCCCTTTAACGTAGGAGCCGTTGCATCTGCTGATGGGTCAGCACTAGCAAAGATTGGTTGCACCGTAAGTGATTATTTTGCATTAGCTCTCTCTCTCTCTCTCTCTCTCTCTCTCTTGTGCGCCCACAAATAACATGTGGGATGAAGTTGTGTGGAGTTGAGATGAGTTATTCATGCACAAGTCCTGTTGTGCGTGATGAGTAAGTGACCTTTTGCAATTAAAACTAATTCGAAGTTTCATATCTTGTGTCATTGCACAGACAATGCTGGCTGCCATTAAAATGGAAGTCATGACCCCTACAGCAGAGTCACCAGATATGGGCTGCATAGGTTTAGCATCATCCCTGGCCAGTCTTCTAATATATTTTTTTTCCCTGTTCATTTATCCCATCTAGTGTGAATATTTAAATTTTTGTTTCCAGCTATCGATTTCCATATGCCTCCAATTTGTTCTCCAACTGTTAGGCCTGGCAGGCCAGCCGAGGCAGCACCAGTTGTGTCGAAGCAGTTATCTGACACCATCTTAAGGCATGGATCTCTTTCATTATATTACATATTTCTTCTCTTCTAACCTAACTGAGTTAAAATTGGATTACTGTTTTCTTCGAAATTTTGATCTGAATTGCCCTCCCCCCAACCCAACCTAATGTTCTGGTATTGGCATTAGTCTTCTTTAGCTGCATATGCTTTTAGACTCATGGATATCATTCTCTGTTGTGGCAATGGCAACTTTTGATGAAACTCGCATAGTCATGCAATATCTTCCAGGACCCAAAAAAAAAAAAAAAAAAAATGAAAGAGTGGGAGAAAGGTAGCCATGAAATAAAAAAAAGACCTAGCTGTCAAGCTCTATATGCTGTTTGTGTTCCCCTCATTTTTTTCTTCATCGAGTATAATGGCAATCTTCTTTGTAGAAAAGCGGTATCAAAATTTTCAAATAGAAAGAAAATTGTTGATTGGTTATTGGAGGTAATGTTACATTTCATATCATTCAATTGATTTTTCTTCAGACTGTCATAGCTATTAATTTCTCATAATCATGCCATAGTTGGCCCTTTTTTGTATTTTTTGTCCCTTTTTTTCCTCTCTGCTGTTGCATTTCCTTCTAGTTCACATGCTTTCCTTTAGTGATCATAACTTTCATATTTCTAATTAAGACATGTAGGTGAATGTTTTTATGATTCAAAAGTCTTGTTTGCCCTGATATTCATCTCCTTTCCTTTGGGTGTGGGATATTGATGTGTGTGATTGACTAATTATTTGGTTGTAGTTCTGGCATGATCAACTTGAAGGACTTATCATTGGTCAGAGGGAAAGCTTCTTGGATGGCCTACCTGGTAATGTTCTCAGATTCTGCCTTGCCCTTGCCTTTATTTAAATTTAGTAAGTGTGCCTTTAATAAATGAAATGTTGGATCTGAGTTTTTTTTAATGAATTGTGTCATCAACAAATGTTTGGCTTCCAACTGTTTGGTTACTGATCATAGTGTGCTCTGAGCATGACGCTTGGGAAAACTGCAAATAACGCTGCTCACTTGTTCATCTATTGGACGATAAAGAATTTTATCTCTTGCTCGTGCAGGACATATATTGTTTAGATGCTGATGGTGCTCTTTTTGACGCCGCATTACTTTCTGCTGTTGCCGCCTTCTCCAATTGTAAGTTCGACAAGGCTCTGCTGATTGTGCTTGGTTGACTGCAGTCATAAATGATCAAACTTCCGTTAATAGAACTTGGAGTATGTTTAAAAGTAAAATGTACTTTTGCCTATGTTTGCTTTCAATATATGCACTTATTTTTTGAAGTTTGCAAAAGTTGAATCATGTCAACTAACAGATGATAGAGGACCAACCCCATTAAAATTGTCAATGCTAATGAATAAACGGCTTCAGAAATGTCTTTGAACTTTTTCTGCCCTTCTTCTTGGAAAGTTTACAGTCTAAATTTTCCTTGGTGAATCATATTGTCTGAAATCGCTGGAATGTACTAATCCGTATTCATGCTGATATCTCTTGCCTCCATTCAGGTCACCCAAGGTCCTAAAGTTCATGACTTGTGCAGACATATAATCAACCTTACACTGGACTTGTTTAAAGTTCAAAACTTTGTGTACTATGTTACTCCCATTTTTAAGTAACTTTCATGTTTTGCAGTGCAAATTCCCATAGTTGCTCTGAATGATGATGGAAGAGTAGTAGTTGTATCCGAGGAAAATGAGGGAGGAAAATTGAAAAAGGAGCCAGTCAACAAAGAGAAGAGGAAGCTCAAGTTGAGCAGCATTCCATTCTCCTTAACCTGCATACTTCACAAGAATTACATTCTGGCAGACCCTACAGCAGAAGAAGAGTCCATCATGGAAACTCTTGTAACTGTGGTATTGAATTTATCTGGTCAGCTTGTGTCTCTTTACAAGCCGGGTGGGCAATTTCTTGCCTATACATCAGCTATCCAGGTCAGTCTTCAAAGGTCATATGATGATCGGTGTTGAGGTTCTCAAATGACATAACTAGTAAGACATGTCAAATATACCAACTATGGTCTTGCAAACCCTAGCAGTGCACCTAATGATAAAACAAAAAAAGCCACATGGCCCACAATTAGATATAACTTACAATTTTTTGTGAAAATGAAATTCTGAAATATTTGAACTTCTGTAATTCTGGTGTAGAGAAGGATGGTTGAAGTTGGTTGGGATATTGAAATAGTTTTGTGTGAAGCAAGATGCATTTAGGTTTTCACGATTCTCCTTTTTATCTGTCTAGTTTAGAGAACCTTGGCAGTGACCCTGTTTCCGTTGGTAGACCTACTAAAATGCAAAGTTGTAAATGGATAGACAGATACTTAAAACCTGAGTGTCATTTGATGAATTGACAACCATTCTCTTAAATACAACAAAGCTTTGCCTGTAACCTTTTGTTTTATCTTCAACCCCTAATAGGGTGTATCTGAATATGGGATGCTTACTAAGCCACAAAATATTAATGACATATTGCATATATGAATGACACCGGTTGGTGCAGCTGCTAATGAGAAGGCATGCTGAGTGCAGGATTGCATGGCATTGACAAGACAAAGAGTGAAGGAACTTAAGAAGATCTTGGATGAAGCCATATGTGATATGGAAATGGACTAAGTTGTGGGAGACTCCATCGGCACTAGCATTTGGTTGTTAGCTGGTCTATTTTCCTTCAATTTTGAGTCAATTTTGGTAGCACTTGTGAAAAGATTTTTTCTTATGCATCTAGAGGACAATTGAGTGCATATCGATTTTTCTGCCAAGTAAGTGGTGGTTGTTACCATGTTTCCTTTCGTTATTGCATTTTCAGTTAGTTTGAAGCGTGGAGCTTCTGTATGCAGATTAATTGGTAATTGTGAGAAGTTCTAAATTGTCTGTCACAAATGCTGTAAATGAAAGACAAATTTTGAACATGTTTACTTTTTTCTAGCATAAAATCTTGCTGTTGTAGAGAGAACTTGGGATTATTTTTCATTCTGTTCTATGCATCCTACATCTGGAAGAATTTCTAGATGTGGGGAGAAGGATTGAATGGAAAGTAAAACCTGAACTGAAAGTTGCTGGAGGAGTAACGTTGGTGGTAAGTCTGGTGGAAGTTCAGATCGAGGGATCTGGCTGAGAGAGAGCATGTTTGCCGTTTCTCGTGGCCATCTGGATGTGTTTTTTTTTGGTTTACAACTAGGCCTGTTAATTGTGTCGGTTGGTTTTAACAGATTCGTGTTAAAAAATGTTCTATTAAACCCGATTCTTTTATTAATTTGTGTTTAACGAATTGTGTTATATCGGATTTTTGTCGTGTATGAATTGTGTATAAGTAATATACAAACAAGTCGTGTCGTATATTTATTTTGATTGATTTTATTTATACTTAATTCATTTACAAATCGTACTGTGTCAGGTATACTTATTTACAAAACGGGTGATTTAAAGAAAATTCAAATACTCTAATTTCGTGTCGTGTTAACGAGTGATATTATATTTTGTCATTCTTAATTACGTAGGACTTTGCATTAAAGAATTAATTGCCTACTAAACAACCAAATTATGGTTGTATTTGATGATGAACAAAATTGGTTTGCACACCACCTGTCAATTAAGTAATGTAAAATACAATAAAGTAGAGGGAGAGAAAAGACAAGGTTTATAGTGGTTCGGTTAATATAATCTTCGTCTACTTTGAATGGCAAAGGTCGTCGGAATTTTATTATCTCTGGTGTGGAAGGAGAGCACAAGATTACAAGCTTTGAGAGGGGAGAAGAGAATTATGTTCAAATGAGTCTAATGCCCCTCAAGTGTTGGTGGGTGTACAATTTACAATGGCTTAGTGTAATAATTGAATAACTAGTCTGACAGTCATAACAGGTTGGGGTTGTTTAATAATAATTAAATATCTTGGCGATCTTTCCTCTCCTTAGCTGATAAGGAAGTTATGGTGCTCTCCAAAAAACTTAATCAAGGATGAGGGAAGTTGATTCTCTCTAGGCTGCGCGAGTGAGACTCATGAATGCTCTCTTACTCTAAGGTGAAGAGGAGGCTCTTGGACGACCCTTGCTCTCAGGTGGTAGAGGAGACTCTTGGATGAGCTCTTAGACGATCATGTGTACTCCTCTATTGATGTAACTCTTGAAATTTGATGAGCTTGACTTGATGTAAACTTTTTTGGGCTTAGTTAACTAGACCTCTTGGAGTTGGATCATTGAGCTTGTAATATGAGTTGAGTCTTTGGACTTGACCCATCAGTATTGAATGGTCCCTACCAAGTAAGAAAAAATCTTGATTTTCTATCAAGTTTGTGGTTGTAATTATTCTACTTCTATACATTATCAAGGTTCCTCCCTTTGGTTAATGGGTAATTTTATTTTGACCTAAAAATTTGACATAATTTATTGATTTAATGATGTGGTATCATTTGAATCATTTGATTAACATCAGGTTTTAATGTTTGATGGAGTTCACAGTCAATTTAAAGATTACAGTGAATTAAATCAAGAAATTAAGTTCTAATAGCATTGCTCTTGCCTAATTGAGGATTATCATGAAAGCTTTTGACAGCTAAAAATCGCCAACGAGAAGGCATCAAGAAATATCTTCGTAAAATGTTGAAAATTATGCATTCTTACTTATCTTGCAAATAAATAATGGAATTATTTATCGAGAAAAAACAAGAAACATTCTCAACATCATTTGATTGAATAGGTGACACTACGTGTCTTCAAAATATGGCCTAACCTTCCTATTATTAATTTTTATAATTTTCCGGTGCTCAATTTTCTGTGAAAGTTGTGTGCTTGTCATCGGACTTGGTAGTAGTAACTTTGTTGCATATATGAGTTATGTGGAAATTATCATTGACCCTGCCCCTTCAAGGGATTTATATGGTTCGGTAACTAAGTATATAATTTTTGTGGACTAAGATATAAGTTTATGGAATTTAGTTACAATAAAATCAAATAAAATTAGGATCACTATTAAAATGTGATCACATTATAATTCTTTTTTTTTTGGGATCATATTATAATTTTTAAGATTAAAATAATAAGTTTTTAATCATCAATTTCAAATAACTTAAAAATTATAAATGACCTTAAAAATAAACAAAAACTCTTTAAAAATTATTCATGGCGGTATGAGACGAATTCTCCCCCTTCAAGAGGTATCTAAATCTATAGGGCATGTTTGGTTCGGCTAAAAATAAAGGATGAGATTGGGGTAATTGGTTTCCATCCGATCTATACAAATGATATTAACATGAATGTTATTTGATCGTATCTTTTGTGTAACGAGTTTGAATCAAGATATAAATCTATAATTTTAAAACCAAATTTACTACTGGATTACGTAATAGTGTATGATATTAAATTAAAAATAACAAAAAAAAAATATTGAAGGCAAGAGTTAGCATAATATGTAACTTTTATATGAAGGTGTAGATGTAAGTTTACAAGTGTAATAAAATCATAGTGTTTTTAACACTAAATTTGTTAAAAATAATACCACCTACCATATGTTATTCAATAATAATCAATATCATGTGTTAAATGACAATAATGAACAAAATTGAATTTAATGAGAAATTAATATATGGTTGCTATAACTCGATCCAAATTTTTTTTTTTGGCTACAGAGTGTTCAAACTTGCGTCAATTACTTATTAAAACTTAGTAATTGACCCCCGTGACTTGAGTTGAGTCAGAACATGTCCCTAAAAGGACAAATGGTGGCTA